AAGGAAAGGAAGTTCCAGCTTAGAAGTATCCCTGCAGTCAGGCCCAGGATTTGCTGTGCCCAAGGGTAGCCATGGCCAAGAAGACAGTGCAGTTCCAGGACCTGCTGTGTAGCATCACTGTCATGCGTCTTACCTGGTCTCTCATGAATTGACCCCTAAAGGGTATTTCTGCTCAAAGCCCCAGCAACCTGGCCCCATCAATATATCTTGACAGAATGTCTTCAGTATTCAGACAAATCATCCTGCGCTCTATAGCACAAGTATGCCCTCATGAGCATCACCTGTGTGTGGGAAGTCCTCACAGTAGAGCCCCAAAGAGGACACAGGGACTCCAACCAGAGAAAATACACCTTGTCATAACAATCACCTGGCTGGGGAATGGGGCATAGAAGATAAACTAATAGATTCTGGGGACCTTGCCAATACACAGATTGACCAGGGCCCTGGAGATTCAGATTCTATAGATCTGAGACAGAACCTTGAAATCCGTATGTTTAACAAATGTCGCAGTGGATCTTGATGGTCAGGCCAGTTTGGGAAACAGTGGAGCGGGGGTGGATTCAGAATCTGGCTCCAGTTCAAATTTGGATTCTACCATATAATTGCTGGGTAGCCTAAGACAAGTTAGCTAGTTGGTCTGGGCCTCTGACCCCCCCCCCCCCATCCATAAAACATAACTAATAATACTTCAGAGGGTTGTTGTGAAGGTAAAATGGGAAAATCTATAAAATGTGCTTAGCATAGTGCCTGGTGCATTTTTAAGCACATAAGCAATGTGAGACATAAGCACCTCACATTTTTTAACATTGCCATCAGCCAGCGCCTTCAGACAGCAGGATAGTTTAGGGTGTGGCATCAGTGTGACCAGATACCCAGCTTGACCTTGAACCTGCAAGGGCAGGTTGAAGGGAGATAAGGACTTTAAACTGAATACTTTTTAGTGAGGTTGATCACAGTTTGACAGAAAAGAAGGGCAGAAAGGCAACAGGTGGGTCTGGAAAGAGCTGTAGCCATTGAAACCCAAGGAGAGAAGATTTCTGCTATACGGTCAAGGATAAACAGACCTCAGAAAGACAGGCAATAGTCAATCAAATGTGAGGTTTCCAAGGAGAGACACAATTTGCTGAGAATAAATTATTTTTGTTTGATTCCCTTTTAGCCTCAAAGCCAAAGTATAGAGCATTTATAGGTCATCATCATTTGCCTCATTTATGTAGCAGGCATCATGATTCTAAAAAGTGTCATGCCCTGTTGTCCTAACAGAGGTTACAAAGATGAAACACCCACCCCAGGAAGCTCGCTGCGTGTCAAAGGGCACAGGCAAATGAGCAGTGACAGCAAGGGGGGTAAAAGCAGTATCCAGGACTGTCGGATGGAGAACAACTAACCTTCCTGAAGGAGAAAGCAAAACCTCCCAGAAGGTTTTTTTCCCAATTGTATTGAGACAAAATTGACATAAATCATTGTGTAAGTTTAAGGTGTACAATGTAATAACTTGACAGATGTAGGTATTGCAAAATAATTATCACAGTCAGAGGCAGTCTTGAGATAAAGATTTCATGACAGTTACATCATCGTTATCATAATCCTAAACTCGTAGGGATAACAACTGCTAACATTAATCAATGCTTAATTTATGGCAGATTCCATGTGAGGCCCTTTATGTTACCTCTCGTCATGTGTAAAATGACTGCCACATGCAGTACTTTTGTTTATTGACTTGTGTTTGCACGGTCTATTCGGAGCTGGGTCCAAATGCCATTGCTGCACAACTGGTAAATTACGATACTCCCCAGAACATTGATTCTTCCCCTCTAGCTTCCTTCCTGGTACAGTAGAGAATTCACTAACTTACAAAAACTAGAATTGACTGCATTTAGTCCCAGCCTGAGTCTTTGACCAAAATCACCTCCCCAGAGTCCCACTGTCTACATTCAGCCTGCACAGGAGGATGTAAATAGTGGAGGGTCTCACTGGGCTTAGGGCAACAACCTGTCCTCCTAAGTGCAAAGCCCTAAGTTCACACAGCCTCGTGAAAAACACGGTCACATTCTTCATGGGAAAGATGGGCCCTTGCTTTCAGGGTAATGGCTAGCAATAATAACTGAAAAATAAGAATAGCTATAATAAGAATATCTAACATTTACTAAGCACTTATATTGTATATTTAGTATATTGTGTGTACTAACTGATTTAAACCTTGCATGTATAGATACTTGTCACTGTCCCCATTTTATAGATGGAGAAACCAGGGGCAGATATATGCCATAGTTAAAAGTTGAGTACAAGGTTGCACATAAGTAGGAAAGATCTGATTGCAGCTAGTTCTAGTCTTGGGGTCCTGTTCTTGGGCAGGTCCACCCTGAGGAGCTCTACTCAGGATACTGCAAAGCAGGAATTCTCCAACATTTGCAGGATCAAAATTAACTTGTTTGGAATGACCATCCCAATGCACCCTGACATCCCCCCCAACTCAACACACCCCAGCTCAGCTTTGCTCCACCCACTCCCAACAGAGAGATCGAGGCTCTTTACCTACCCAGCCTGTGTCTCACTTTTGTGCAGTGGTTCTCCTAGCCCCAGCTGCCTTTCCCTTTCTCTCCATTGCCTGTTCATCCCAAGGTCGGCACCCATCTCAAAGAGTCCCTTCCCCGGGAAGCTTGTCCAGACTTGCTAAGGGCCATCCCACTGCTCCTTTACAGATTCCTACCCAGAAGACTGTGGGCTCGCTGAGGCCAGGGGCTGCAGCTGACCATTTATAACAGCAGCATTTAAAAGCTCCTATGTAAATATGTCAGAGTGTTCATTATCTGCTTACTGTCGCATGCGTTCGTTTTTCCCTCACTGCTCAGCACTTATAGACATTAAGGACAGCTTTGACACAAATTAAAATTAGCAACTTAGCATGACACCTCTGTTTGCTAAGAAGACAGTTTTATTCATTGTGTTTTACTTTTGTAACCAGCACCCTTTTGGGCCTGGTGCAAATCTGTGGCCTTTCCTTGAGGACGCCATTTGTTCCTTTTATGTCTTGACTCATCACATATTGTGGAGAGTGTTAGCTGAGGAGCACATTTGCTTTATGAAAATGTTACCAAATGCTGATACCATAAAGAGGAAAGCACCAGATGTCTGTCTGCAAAGAAAGCAAAATCCTCGTTTGTGACGAGTCAGGGGTAGCCAGGGCTCCCCAGGCATTTCCGGGCCTGGGGTTTGGCTCTGCATGCTCCCTTGGGGCCTCATAATTGACCCCCACATTCCATCTCAGTCATCATTCTGGAGAAATTTGTCAGCTTTACTGCTGATCTGTGCCTGGAAACTGGTGTCCATTAGTGTTCCCAGTTTTAAGCTGAGACACATTTGCTGGATAATTTTGACCAAAATAACACGTAGGATTGTGTGCTGTCCTGTGATTGATTTAATTTTACTCTTCCTTTGAGCTGTCACGAGTTTCTTAAGGTGCATACAGTTGTCAGTGGAACAGGTCATTTACAGTCAGAAATTATGTAAACTTACCAACTGAAATAATGTTTTAATGCCCAACTTAAGGCAAGGGGTCATAAAACAAAGCATTCTCTGATGTGTGGTAAGGAATTGGAGGGGAGCATGTTCTAGATAATGGTAATAATAAAGACTGAGGATATCAAGGCCTCTGGTCAAGTAGACTTGAGGGTATTTTCATAAAATGCAATTTTCCTTCTGGTCACGTTAAAATCAATGTGTAATACATTATCTATCCTGGGCAAATGTGTATTCTCTTTGCTTTCTGTCATAATTCTTTATTGCATTTGGCAGCAAATGAGCTTCTAATATTAACATTTAGAGAGAGAATAAAAAGAACTCATAGTTCAGAAGTCATAGTTGCACAGAATTTAAAATATTAACTCACCAAAACCCCCAAAGCCTAACTTCACTTGGAAAAATGCTCTCACTGATATGCCCAGAATGGAAAAAATCTTACAAAGGTTAGAATCCTGCAGGGTTTAGTGAGAGGATCCTGACTTCATCTGCTGGGCTCTATATTATGAACACCACACCCGACAGCTGCTTCCTCCTGGTAGCTCAGTGGGAGCAGTTAGTGAAAAAGCACATTGAAGAGTGGACCGGGGCTGGTGGGCAGGACCCGCCTGACTCTTGAAATTCAGGGAGACAGGAGTGAGCTCACTGCCCAATGCATCTTTGTTTTGCTTCTTGCCCTTTGTTCATAATCAGAGAGAGATTTCTTAGCATTGTTTCTGCGGACCTCTACGGAGGCCCCAAAGCATCAGCAGCTTCCCCGCTTCCACATGATTCCCAGAGTTTATTGTGAGCCCGGACCACGTTGCCCCTCTACGGAGGTGCAGAATCCTAGAGAAATCCCTTGTCCACCCAGATAACAGTTGCATAGTAGCAACAGTTGTAGCAAAACAACCTGGTTCAGAGGTTCAAAGACAACTGCATTGATCATTTTCCATTTTTCCTGTTTTTAATGCAACCTAATAGTGGTACCCATAGAATTATAGCCACTTTTAGAATAGATGACTCATTGCATGCCACACGTCACAAATCCTGTGTCCCTCCTGTGCAACTTTTCAGTTCCCTTCACCCCTTCCCCACCCCCAAGATTGCTCACATGTTTATTTCCAAGAATAAACTTGTTTGACTGAACTGTTTTTAATATTGTTTTGAAACGAGAATTTATGTCCCTCTGCATTTTCACAAGCAAGGCTCAAGCTTGGACTCAGATGTTATAGGAAGGCAATTTTCCATTGTTTCTGACCATGTCTAGCCATGAGACCAGAGGTGACTAACACCAGGGTTTCCATGTGCTCTGATATTTATGAGTTCTTTTTAGAGGGTAGGTACACTTTTAATTTTAAAAAGAAAAAGAAAACAAGGGAGAGGATTATTGTGAGGTTGAGCCAGGTCACATTTTGTCACTTGAAAGTGAAATTGTAACAGAGTCACATCAGACCATTTTTACAGGGATGACTAATGGTTTTCTTCTCTTTCTGTTCCAGCCACACCAGCTATCCTTGGCAGAGCCTCCCAGAGTCTGCAAAGAGTTAATCCAGGCCTAGGGACAAGTAAGAATTTCAGTCCTTTTTCTGTCATCAGTGATATTGTCCATGCTTTACCATATTCAAGCTACTATTTTTTTCTCTGCCTTATTTGAGATTTGGTACCTGGATAAATGACTGGCTGAATTTGCAAAAATAAGCAAAAATATATATATAGACTTTTAAAGGATGTCTTTTTCAGCTTCTCTACAAGGGGGCTTTTTCATCTCTCTAATTTGCTTATCTTTAGAGGTTAAGTAAAGCCAAATTAATGTGAAGGGGAAAAAAAGATAAAATAATTGTGGACCAACCATTCGTTTATTGAATTTAGGAACTGCCTCCTTTTACAAATCGTGTATTATGTTGTCAGTATGATTTTGAGATGTTTATTTACCTAGTGCTCTCATTGACAGTAAAGCTTTCCCTTCAACCATATCGTCTTATGATCCAAAATTCTGCCTTCAAGCGAGCTCTTCTCCTTAAAATGCCTTTGCACATCACCCTCTTGTCCTCTGACAATCTCCCCTTCATCCCCAAGACTGAACTCAGACATCAGCTCTGTGGAGACGCTTCTCTACATCGGCTAGAACCAAAGACTTGCTCTGCCTCTGTGCTCCCAAGGAACTTTGTCCACTGCTCCATTAGAGATCCACTTCCTGGTGTCTGAGCATATATGCTGGTCCTATGCGCAGAACTCAAACCCTCCTGTTTTAGAAGCCTCCACCATGTTCGTCTGTTCCCTAATAACCCCCTAATATGAGGGGTTAGAAAAGGGGTGGCTTTTTAGTGATGTTTGGGTTCTCCCAGCCAGTATTTTTCAAAGCCTTCACGCAGCAGATAATGTAACTTATTGCTACTTTCTGCAAGGAAGTGAAAAGGAATCAGTTAAGAATGTCTTCCTATGTATAGAATGGTGGGGTCACTGTATTGTGCACCTGAAACTAATATAATACTGTATGCTAACTATACTGGAATTAAAATTAAAAACTTCAGAAAGGAGAATGTTTTACTGATGTGCATGCTCCGCCCTGCATTGGTCTCTCCTCCACACAGGTAGGACTCTGCTCCTCACTTTCCCTCGGAGGGGTCATACGATTTTTCCCATTTTCTTTGTAAAGTCACGCTGGGCCTTGTTGCAATACAACCTCTGGGTATGGCAGATGTGTTGAAGAAAGTCCTGCCAAGTCATTTGGCATATGTTGATTTTCTGTCTTTGTGATAAGCAAGAATACCAATTATCCTTTCTCTGTGATATATCACAGAGATACTGACCTGCCCACACAAGGCAGAATACTACCCTTCCAGCTTCTCCTTTTCAAAAGTTAGCCCCCCTCCATCCCAGGACTGATTGGATAAAGTTACTCCCGTCCGTGGATGTGGCTACCAGTGCACACTTTTCCACAGTGCACATGCTTGGACACAGGGCCACCTTTATCATCCGAGCATCTCATTGAGATGCGACAGACCCTGGTGCTCTTATCACCTCCCTGTCACTGTATCCCAAGCGTTTAATTCTTTGCTAGGCACCCAGCCCTAACTCTGCACCCTTGGGAAGAAAGACATGAGTAAGATATTGTCCTAACATCAGCAATCTCATATTCTCACTCAGGAGATAACTTCACACACGAAGCTAGTGTTCAACGTGAACTGTCTGATCATTACGCAGTTATAATTCATACATTTCCTATGTGCATTTTTCTAAATTCTCAGATTCAAAGCAAAACCTGGGGCTAAAACCTGGGTCAAAAATTATGGGGCTATTGTAGTAACCCCTGAGTAGCAGTCTCCCTCCTCTCCCCTTCTCCCCCCTACTCATCTCTCCCTTCTTGTATCCACCTTCCTCTGCCAATGACAGTTTTAAGAACCCAACATATCACTCTGCTCTAAACAACTCAAATTTCAAACTTCAAACCTACCCCAAGCCACTGAAATCCAACATCCCTCATCCCCGCTTATAAGTCTACACTACTTAGTACTCCCCAACAACACTGTGCTTTCCCACCCCTGGGACTTGCTCATTTCAGCCCGTCTTCTGGAGCAATCCTCCTTCCACCTCACCCTGCATTCTGTAAATATAAATCCTGCCCGTGTTTAAGGCTCAGCCAGAACACAGTGCTTGGCCCAAAGCAGTACTTCTCTTCGCCATGTTCGTCTTCGAGGGAGATCATGCTATTTTATACCACTTTTAAGGAGTATATCAAATGCTGCTTTGCAGTAGAGCTATTTGCATATTTCTCTTATCTCCCCATCAGGATTGTGAACAGCTGGATCTTATTCAGAGTTGTGTAATTCACCGGGCCTAAAACGGTACCTTGAACATGGTACCTTGAACAGTACCTTGCATATGAATTAATTAAATGGAAGCACCCTTCATAGCTCCCTGGTTACCCATCCTTCTCCACATTTAACAATTCCCACAAGCACCCCTTGTTATGGGGCCTCTGGGCTGGCTGGAACCCTCATGGAGGATCAGATCTCCCCACTTGTGTTAATTACACATTAATTACCCTGTTCCATTGTGGAAAGGACTCCTAGGAATCAAATGGTTTATACTCCGAGGACAGCTTCTTTACAGGCAAAGGCTACGATATGGTAACAGTAGAAGAAGGGTATGCATTGGCCAGGGTCTGACCCAAGTGTGGGCCTTTTTGTCCCCTCTGTGAAACACAGATGTTCTTTGTCTCCAGATTTGGAATCACTGCCTAAGTGCCTGCCAAACACCTCTGTACCAGGAAGCCCAAAGTCTTCTCACGATGGGTTTTCTGTAGTAAGCCAGTGATGTAGGTACATTCTAACTGTTTGGACGCCCTTAACCATCAGCCCCCAGGTTCCACTTTAGGTGCGGATTGCACACCAAATTACATTGCTAAGCAGCATTGACAGACTTCTATATCCTGCACATCTTTCTGAAAGAGATTTTGTTCTCTCACTTTTAAAAGCCATTCCTTTTCACTGAATTTACTGCATATTGCTGTGAGAGTGTAAATTTTGTGATCAGTGGCATTTCCACCTGAAATTAAAATGAATATCCAACCAGAGGAAAATATTGAAGTTTCATTGACTGGCATTTGGAGCATAAATGAGTCCAAGATTTTATGAAAATGGGCATTCTGAACATAAACATAATGACCGAGGTCAGAGTTAAGTTTTGAAAGGATTCCAAAAGATTATCATCTTAGATGGGCACAACAAATGAATTGCTTACAGTTTTATAAGCTCCCAAACAACTTCCTTCACTTCGTAAGTTACTTTTCAATAGAAACATGATTATGAGACAGAAGTTTGATACAGTCATCGTCACCTTTATATGTCCTTATCTTACAGTCTTAGCCAGACTCCTGTCCTCGTCTGCTAATTTCTCTCTGTTACCTCCTGCTTTTCCCTATTCCAAGTCATCCTGCTCTCTGCTCCCATGTTCATTCTTCCTGCCTACGTCTCATGCAGTGATTCTTATGCCTGAACACCTTCAGTAGCCCCCCACTATTTTCTACCTTATGAAGAAGCTCATCTCCTTGGCATTCAAGAAGGTCCATCATGTGGATCCTAAGTGCTTTTCTAGCCTTATCGCCCTTGTATGCTATGGATACCCACGTTCGTGTCTCTGCTTTTCCTGCTTCATTGTATCTATTCCTAATAACCCCTTCACCAGAACTTCCCTCTTCTTTCCTCTGAGTCAGGAACATCCTTCATGGATTGTTCTCTTTCAGGCATATTTCAAATATCACTTTATCCCCAAGAGAATGAGTACTTCCATCTTGGAATCTGTGTAGGCCTTCCTTGCTTTCTCTTAAGGAAAGAGTATATAACACAGTACTTTTCAAAACTCAGCCTGTGGAGCAAGATAGCAAGACAGACTGTTTAAGTCCCAGATCTACCATGTACTTCCTGAGTGATCTTTCCTAAGTTTCATAAGCTCTCTGTACCTTGGCTGTTTGTTTTGTGTTTGTTTGTTTGTTTGTTTGTTTGTCTCTAAAATAGGGGTGCTAACAGTACCTACCTCATAGCTGTTGTGGGAATTATAAGTGTTGATATATTTAAAAGAGTTAGAATAGTATCTGGCCCCATGGTGTTTATTGTGTTCTCTCGTGGCCCTTATTTTATTCCAACAGGTATTAGGATTGAACTGGATGAAATGTCCTATACTCAGCTTTATTTTGGACCTTAATATCATGTCATTTGTTTCAACCTAATGGATTCTTGTGTATGCTTTCTATTCCCTTGTAATAGACTATACTATCCTCAAGGGTAGAGGCTCTATTGTATATGTCCTTGTCTCCCACAGTACCTGACACATGCCAAGTGCTTAATGAGTAGTTTCTGGATTTTGAACACACGCACACATGTAAAAAAAATCCAGGTTTTCCCTGATAGCATAATTACTCTTTGGCTAGCACAGAGCACCTCTATGCCCTCCAGCAGGCATTTATGAAAGGAGAGGGACAAATATATACAGGAAGAAAAATTTCTCTTGTCCATTGCTATAAACACGTATAGTCTTTCCCAAAAGCCTTCCACAGAACCTTAACTTCAGGTCATGGGACTGGTGTCATGGTCTAGTCTTAGGGTATGTCACAGGACCTCTATGTCATCACTGTGGTATTCTGTTGGCACTTCAGCTGCTGAGGGAAGCATAGCCCCACTCCTGCCTGTGACCCATCATTGCCCCCATCCAAGCTGAATGACCCTCTCAGCTTTGAGCATTCTTTTTCATCAGATATTTTCAACTTTATGGGCTTACTAGCTGACAATATGGCTAAAATAAGCACAACACAGGGGCGTGTGTCAGAGCAGGGACGGTATCTGAGAATCTGCAGGATTTACTTCTAACAAAGAACTTGAGCTTCAGACATGCTTTAGAGAGCAGTTCTGACAATGGGTTCTGAAATTAAAGCTGACATTGAATTCTTGACAGGCTACTGTTTATAAATAAGTCAGTAAATGATTCAGTAAGTAAACACAGATTATTATGATCCCTTTTAAGGAAACAGTGTTTATGTTGGCTCTCCCTTGCACCCAGACTAGTGGTA